TTTGTGGTCGTCTGCCCCTATGTAAACCCCTTCAGAAGTGTCTGCCATTTTTTTTCTTAATTGTTTATAAACTTAGCTAACGGATAGTTATTATTATTATTTGAATCAAACACTTTTTTTTGGGCAAATTTTTTTTCGACTTAACTGTATGCGCAGTACCAGGTGTACCCAGGTAGGCCAGGCAGACAGTCATATACCTGCTTATTGAGTCGACTGATACCTTTAAACAAAGTTTCATGATGCATCAAACACTTCATGAAAAATGCGTCATGAGCTCTCGGACCATCAGTATTTAATTGATTATATACCGCTGACACTTAATCACGCTTTTCGAAACCACGCCAGTTGTAAACAATACTTGTGTGAAAAGACAAAATCTTCTTTTCAAATTTCCGCCGAGTTGTAAGTAGAAGGCCAAATAGGTCACGTGTCAATTTTAATTACATATATTTTATATAAAGTGATCTTGACTACGTTTCATCAATTAACCATTGGTAAAAATTAAAACAGGAATTTTACGATTGTGTTTACAAAAAAACATTATTAGTTGAACCTTGCAGCTTGTTCATTACTTTTATTAAAAATACCTATAAATGTATATATTATTAATAAATAGTTCCCATAATATATTGGATTATTTTTTATTTTGCCCTATCTGCAATGTTCTACGCTCTATAGAAAATGTGGCGTATGACATGACTGACAATCTTTCGAACGTTTTATCTAGGTATAAAGATGTTTTACGTTTTCGTCGCCTCCACATGATATTTTTGTCAGCATAAGGTACCCTTCTATATCTGAAACGAATATAAATATTGCTACAAAGTAAAGTAATAGGCTATACAAGTCCCTCTTCTGGGCACAGGACTCTTTTTTTATTTCTGAGAGGGTTTTAGGGCAAGGAAATGCCCGTCGTGCTTCCTCAATGCGTGTTGACGAAAATTGCAATTACAAATTTCATTCGTGCTGTCGGGGATCAAACCCGGGAAAATTTACAGCGAACGCTTTGACGACATATTTTAATACGACACAAATAAATACGATTTAACATATATAATAAAAATTCTTACGTACTTGAAACTTGAACACTTGATAGCTCGTGATGCCTACCGGACAAAGCTACAGCACCACACAATGTAATTGAAGATGCGTAACCGCGACATAATTCTCAGTGATGCGCAAGCATAACAGGCAGTATGTCACTTATATAGTTATCATCTCTGCAGTCTATTAATCTTTGCACTTTTATAAGTAATACAGAACGTAGTTGCTAGACGGTGTTGACATCGGCTAAAATCTCTGCGATCGCCGTTTCGTCAAGGTCATTCAGGCTAGTTAAAGCCTTAACAAAGAAACTATTATTTACTGTTTTGGATAGCTTTAAATCATCTGCGTAAAGTTCAAATTTAGAGTTAAAATACAATGATTTATATCGTCAATGAACATAACAAACAGAATTGGTCCGATGTGGGAGCCTTGTGGAATTCTGAGGCAAGGTGAATATCCCTAGATGTAAAACAATACACAACTACTCGCTGTATACGACTTAAGTAAGATGAGAAACAGTTCAAAAGTGGCCCACGTATGCCAAAAATGTTGTTAAGTTTGCGTATTTTATTAGTAACGCACGATTCCTCTTGTCGAACGCTTTATAAAAGTCGGTATAAATTGCGTCTACTTCATTACCCGAGCTCATACTTGTAATTATTCTATTCACAAATGTTAAAAGGTTGGTTGCTGTAGAACGTTTCCTTAAAAAACCGTGTTGTTGATCTGCCACAGTTTGCTTTATGTGCCACGATAAGCTAATGATCCAAAAATTTTGAATTTTCAAAAATTTTTGAACTGGGAGAATACTAATAGGTCTTTAGTTATTTACATTGCTTTTATCGTCAGTTTTATAGATTGAAATAATTACAGAATCTTTTCACATGTTGGGGAAACAACTTTCCACAAGACCAGTTCACGAGTTACCCGTTCACGATTTCATATCTTACCGATTTATGGACTACATTGAGAGTCTTTTGATAAAATGAATTTACTAATAGTATGAAGTAGACATCTATTACAAAGCAATTTTAGTCGAAAGAAAATATTCTTTTCATTTAATACACTAAAATGTAGGCTGTCTAAAAATAAGGATTATAATATCTATTTGCTATAAAATTAAACTTGTATCTTATGTATATATAAAAATCATTTGCTGTGAAATGTTTTTGTTTTATTTTTTATTTCATTTAAAGGTTTCACTTATACCGTATGTGCATTGCAGACATCTTTTTTTTTATTTAAATGAGCTCAAAAGTGGAGTTGCCTAAAATGAGACATATCTCAAATTAGGAACCCTGAGTATCTCACATTAGTATACCTTCATGCTTGTATATAAAAAGTGTATTATTTTGTTATATCACTTATATTACAGAATCGGTAAGCACTATCACTATTTTGAAATACATATACATTAAATCTAGGTGGACTGTGTGCTCGTTTGCTACCCTTATCCTATAAAAAAGTCCACATATACAAGACATAGTGGGAAATTATACTCCTCGGTCTTCTGTACAATTTGCCGAAGGGTATATATGTAGTCTACAGTGCTAAAGCCTTTTCGGAAACCGGCTTATTCGGGAGGCTGGCAGTCGTAGAGTCTGCGTGCGAGATGATTCGTAATGACTCTTGAAAACAGCACTTAGACGCAGTTCAGAAGGGAAATCAGTCTGTAGTTCTTCAAGAGAGCGTTGTCGCCTTTCTTGAAGAACAAGACCACCGCGCTTCTGTTCCATGCCTCCAGAGTAGTGCCACCATGGAAAACGGAAATAACGAGCTTTTGAAGGACTCCATGTATCGGTTTTCCACCCACCGACACGGGAATCGAGGATTACCATGTCCTTCCCCTCTCTTCGTACCTCAGATAATGCTATTATCCCAGCGCAACTTGTCTATATCTTTTTCCAGTTCCACGATCTTCTCGTCAGCCCTCAGGGTGCGTGTGCAGTATGTTGCTAGGTAAATTTACACGATAAATGATAATTAATTAGATTTAATGTATATGTATTTCAAAATAGTGATAGTGCTTACCGATTCTGTAATATAAGTGATATAACAAAACAATACACTTTTTCTATGCAAGCATGAAGGTAAACTACTATGAGATACTGAGGGTTCCTAATTTGAGATATGTCTCATTTTAGGCAACTCCACTTTTGAACTCATTTAAATAAATAAAAGATGTCTGCAATTCACATACGGTATAAGTGAAACCTTTAAATGAAATAAAAAATAAAACATTTCACAGCAAATTATTTTTATAAAATTTGATAATTTTCAACCACAAGTGCGGCATTAAATATAAGACACAAGTTTAATTTTATTCTCGTTAGACTATCGCTCAATGACTTTAAACTTCTACATAAAATAAATTAAGGTCAATTTTGGTTTACACTGCGATAAATATGAAAAATATCATAAATCACTGCTAAAAACTAACTTTTCAGTTAGGTTTAACCACAGCTATCTTTAGAGTGACCACTACAAGCAATGTTGTTTCCAACAGAATAGCATAATAAAGTCTTTATGTAAATGTACCTCTACGCGAATGAATATTGTAATAACAGCTGATATTAAACGACCTCTATTTGAATGCCTGTCTTTGGGGAATAATTGGATTGAAGTTTTTGCATCATTTAGGTTAGGTACTTATTTTTTATATAAGGGGGTGCAAACGAGCATACCGCTCATATCATGGTATAAGTAGGACACGAAAGTCTAGCGGTGACCTTTGTTGCCCATAAGTCGAAAATAAGGTATCATAGGGTAATAAGCGAGTCGTGGGGTGGGCGTGCATCGTTCGCACGCGCTGATTGACTTGTGCGTATCACGCTCTGATTGGCTCTCCAGTCAAATTCGTGCAATTCAATACGTGCGCGACAGTACCTATGCGTGGCTAGCCCCTCCACATTTCGTTCAGCGCTAGACTTACGTGCCGCGACTTATAAGTTACTACCCCTGCCCATGATAAACTGCCATACCAGGGAAATTGCATGTGCGTTGCTGGCTCAAACCGTTAACATTTATTAAAGTTCTATTTCTCTTTTTATCATAACATACATAACTACATATAAGCAAACATTCAGACCTGGAACAATTATTTATAAATACGAGTACTTGTTTTGTCTTGTGATTTTAGTCTTGACCAGTTAATATTTAAATTTCTGGTTTACACTAATCCATTCAATCATTTATTACAGCCTACTAAAAGTCCTCTTCTAAACATAAGGTTCACCTTTAAGTATTGTAAACTTATATCCAAATACTCAAACGCTACTCAATTTTAATAATTTCAACGAGTTGTAATCGGGAATATGCTATTGCCCGTTTTTTTTTTGTTTAATGTCTTATTATCGAAATAAACCCCTAAGATCTCTTAAACTCTTTTGCTGTGTTTACTTCATAAGTGATGCGATTTCTACATAAGCTTTGGCTTTATGAGCACTTTGCCATTTGTCCCTATAGGATATTCTACATTTATTACAAAGCAAAGTTTGCAGAAGGTTCAGTACGCCAATATTGGAACTTACTCACATGTACTCTAAAATTTAATAATAGATGTAGAATTCTGTTTACAAAATTAATACAAGTCTTATACCTACCATTCGGCTTCACTGCAATTGTTGATAACAATTTAATAGTGAATTGAAATTTCGATACTATCACCTTTATTTATTTATCTTTCACCACAAATTAATAGCTATTTAAGCGAAATGAGTAGGTACGTGGCTATTTCGTTATATTTATAACATCCTTAAAATGACTACCTTATATATCATACGATTGTGGGACCTACCACTTTAAATACCGCTTAGAGATCTTATTGAACAAATCTATGTTTAAAGAAAACGTATAATTTTGTCTAATGAAGGATAATGGTGTTTAGTGTTATAGCAAGTTAAAAAAATTCTTCCACGTAGTAAACTAATATATTTTTTGATTGCACTGCAAAGCTACATGATCTGGAATAACAACAAAATATCAACTGCAACGCAGGATCCCAAGCTAAGCAAAACATGATTTTGCTTAGCTTGGGATGCTGCGCCTCTACTACGAATTTGAGGTCCCTTTACAGCCGCACAACTTGTACATTTGCGGCACCAGTCCTCGACATCGTCACGACAGTGGACCCAGTAAAACCGTTCTCGGATTTTCAGTAGAGTTCGTTTAACTCCCAGGTGGCCTCCTGAACAACCACTATGGTACAGCTGTAGAACATCCTGTACTTTAGCCTTAGGGACAACCATTTGCAAATGACAACTGTCTCCCCGACCATTTTCCCATTTACGGCACAGGACTCCATCCTGAATCAGCAAGCTGTCCCATTGGGCCCAATAGCTTTTCGTGGTCGAACTCATTGCTGAGACGTCGCTCCACTTGGGCTTAGGAGCACTGGCCTTCATCCATTCCAGAATCGGCTTAATATCCGAATCTTCCTGCTGTGCATGTTGTAGGCTGTCCTTCCACTCATTGCTGAGCTGGTCTGTCCTGAGCATCCTCACAGATACCACTTCCTTACCCTCTTGCCTAGTACAATGCTTGCAATCGTCGAATAGTTTTACTATAAGGCGGTTTTACTTATGCAAAAGTCTCTGCAGTAATTGTCAATGTCCATCACATGTCACATGTTGTCATTATGATGTCATCAAACTAGAAGTGACTGATAACTTCACCACTTTGGATTTTAGAAGAAGACAAAAACAATTATCTTCCAAGTCTTCGAGTCCAGTACACAGCATTATAACTTACTAAAGTAATTATAACAAGCGAATGGCCGATACTTTGTTTGCCCGATATTTACTGCAGTAAGAAATAAATATTAAACAAAAATAGTTTTCATCTTATAAAAATTTTTTAGAATTAGTAATTTTCTTGAAGAAGAAGAAAATCTACCAATAATTTCACTGACGGATTATTATTGCATTATTGACCTTCGTATCTCCGGCTGGTCCGGCTAAAGGAAACAATCAACATGAGTTTGGTCAAATGATTGGCCAGCTATTGCTTCAATTATGGTAACATCACAGTCACTGCCAGCATCCCCGAGTTGTGCAAATAGCTTTTCCATGTCAATAAAATGTTCCATTAAAAATTTCCGTTCGTCGAATTTCATATCGGACAACTCTCTTCTTATAAATAATTCAGATCGTGTACCTTTCTTCTTAAAGCTGTCTTCCATGCTTTTAATCATTTGATAAGCAGATCTGTCCTCTAAGTATTCGAGGTGACTGTTGGCGGTTGCCGCTATTATGATAGCCTGGGCCTTAGTTTCCAATTGCAATTGCTTGTTATCCGTAGATTTACTGAAATCCTCCTTTTCGATCGCCTCTATTGCTCCAATATCTCGCAGGATACTTTTTAATCGAAACTCCCATGTATTGTAATTGTCCCCCGCGTAAGGAACAATTTGATATTTTTCTTTTGACATTTTCTCTCCTTTAACACTTATTAATTTACTATAAAACTGATGGCCGTACTGGGCTCATAACCCTGTTAAGGATTATGGGGATAATTAAAGATATAATATTTTGAACATAAAACGTGCTTTTTATTAACCTCAAAACAACAACATGGAGAGCCTATAATATCATATTGAACCTTCCTTCATAACAGACACAGTGTTGACAACCGACGCAGTGTTGCCATTAAAATACAATATTATATAAATCATTGTTAATTAACAATTTGCACCTACTTGAGATTGTAACGAATTGTAATTAATAATCCAAACTCTAGTATATCACTGCAGGAGTTAAAGATACAGTAAGTTCATTGTGCATATGTCAGATCAAAATTAATAATTAAAAGCTGAACATGAAATCGAAATGTAAACAAACACTTCGAAAATATAAGTCAAATTAAAAGCGGTAAAATGTTTAAAAACAGTTTAGTTAAATGTGTAGTGTTCGTGTAAATATAAGAAATCATTACACAATTATTTACTTAATGGTTTACCTATAGCAAGTTATATCCACAGTTAGTAAATTCAATTTAGCTGATGAATGGAAATAGGTATTTTGAGTATCACACAACCGAGCGCATTTGTACAATAGTAGCTGGATTTGACGATAACGACTAGCCGGAGCTTTATCCGATTGGAAATGTGGCAGCCTCGGCGGTGCGACATAAATGCGCAGGAGCTAAACAATTATTTTAATGGAATCAGAAATTGTCACCGATGGTTTACTATCGGGCTTATGCTTCCGACACCGAAATGTACTGTGCGAAAATGTTCTAATATTTATATCAATCTAAAACGTTGCAGTTTTAAAGACTTGAATGAAACCAAATAAATTATTCTAAAGTAAATTTATTACGTAAGTTATTATTATTCCTAAAAGCCGTTACTTATATTAAATTAAAAATAACTAAGCAGTCGATTTTGGGCGACTGTTTGGATCTAAATGTTGTTTGAAATATTAAAAAAAAAATTAACTCAACTTTGCAAGTTTAGCAAGGTTCATCCCATGTACGTTTAATTGTCAAGAAAGTTATCCTATAATAATTGCATGCCTTAAGCGCAAAGCGCCCAGGTATGTATCTACTAGCGCCTAAAAATCAAGATTCCTACGATTTGTCGCATTTTTTTTTATGGGATGAGGGTGACAAACGAGCACACAGTCCACCTGATGGTAAATGGTTGCTGTGGCCCATAGACATCTACATTCATCCTCGATGAAGAATCAAAATGCAGATGCGTTGTCATCCGTGAGGACTAAGATGGAATGCCTCGTTTCCAGTAAAAAGGGTCTCCGGTTCTCTACACTCACCATACGAAACACAGCAGCATTAAGCTGCTATTTTGACGGCTCCGTGGCGCAGTGGCTTAGCAATGAGTTGCTGCGCTGGGGGGCGCGGGTTCGAATTCCGCACGGAACAAGTATTTATATGGCCTACAAATAATTGTTCCGGGTCTGGATGTTTGTCCTTGTGCAATTTATGTTTGTAAACTGCCTCCACGACACAGGAGAAAATCCTAGTGTGGGGGAGACGTTTTTAAAAAAGAAAAAAAAAAAGAAAAAAAAATTACGCTGGTATTCTTGAGTGTATTTGTGAATAATTGCTATTTTTATATAAAAAGTGGTTTTAGTGGCTTATGGTGTAGAATTATTATTAAGTCTGTTATGACAAACATAACGGTGTATTACGAATAAATAATATTGTGCATCTTGAGAATTTGGACATTAACATAAATAAAAAGTGGTCGGTACCACTAGGTCGTTTAAGAAAATTACGACATATCTTCTCGTCAGGTATACCATAGGATGGCCTGTGGATGTGAGACGTAGGACTTTCACTGCTAGCCGTATGGGGAAGATTAAGGTCGCACAACGAGCTGCAGAGAAGGCTACACTCGGTGTTTCTCTGCGTTATAGAGTTAAAAACGAGGATATCCGCAGTAGAACCAGAATCACCGACAAAGCCCAACGGGTTGGTAAACTAAATTGGCAAAGAGCCGGCCATGTAGCTCGAAGAACCAACAACCGATGAGGAAGAAAGGTTCTCGAGTGGCAGCCTCGTACCGGCAGACGTCCCCCACTAGATGGAGTGACGACTTGATAAGACATGCATTCACATGCTGATTATAGAACGCGGGTTCGAATTCCAGGTCGAACCAAATTCAGTTATTTGTTTTTTTGTTAATTAATTCCTAGTAGCTGCCGGGAGACAGGAAGTTATCGATGTTTCACCCTTGTACCTCGAAAAACACGTCAAGCTGTCTGAAAGGTCTTCCTTCAGCTGGTTTCTTAATCCAAAATTCAACAACGTAGATGTGAACCCCGTGAAGGAGTATCACAAGAGAGCGTCTGATGCAACTCTCAAAAGAAAGGTAAGACGATTAAGATTACGGGTTCTCTACATCCAGTACATCCGGACTTCTCCTGTGGTCGGACGGAATATGCGTTGGTTCTTCTGGACCTAAAACTTCGTAGTTATTGCGTTCTGCATCTTCATGGAGTTCACGATCCGGCGGGGTGATCGTTCTAGATCCCCAGGCCGGGTGTTTTGCGTTTAGGTTCCCCCTGATGATGGTAGGTGCTGTGCCTTCCATGATCGTTCGGATGTCTGAGGAGTGAAATGGAGTCCCTGCCGGGCAGTACGCTGCGAAGATCCTTAGTTCCTCACCCGCCGCCTCCATTTTTATGCCGATGGAGCGCGTCGTATGGTGTGACGGTAAATGAAGCTCTAGGTGGACGATGTCCTTTCTTACTAGAAACACCGTGCCTCTATAGGCGGTTCCTTGAGCATTGACTTCGTCCCTCATGTAAATGTGATAGTTGGGCATCTTGATGTGCGTAGATGGTCTCAACTTCATCTCCCCCAGCAAGATTATGTGTGTATACTGGTATTGAGCTACTGTGCGGAGTTCATGGAGCTTCTGCTGGATACCGTCCGGGTTCCTGTACAGCAGACGTAGGTTCATGTTACTCGCCTCCGTAGTGCTGAGCCAGTAGTTGCGCTAGTGCTCGCATCACTGCGGTTATTGGGTCGGCGCCGGCTCTGAGTTCTTTCCTTAAGGCTCTACCTTAAGGAAAGAACTCAGAGCCTCAGAGCGCGCTCTATGAGTAGAGCGGGCTCTATTTTCTGATAGAGCCCTTTCTGGCGCTCTACCTTCTGTAGTTATCTTCCTAGTAACCTGCGCCTGCGAGGCTATGGTTACCGCTGGGGTCGGGTTAGAGGTTTCTGCCTGAGGCTGCACCTTCTTCTTCTTCCTCCTCCGCTTCCTCTTCTTAGAGGGTTGCCGCTCTGTGGCGTCGTTATCGGGCAGCTGTAGAGTCGCTCCGGTGGTTGCTCTGGTTGTAGGTTGCACCGTTTCCGTAGGTAATGTTGGTACGGGTGTGGGTGGGGGGGGGGGGGGTAGCGGTTTGCATGCCCCTGATGGTTGCCTACCCGTCTTCATGGATGTCTATCCTTGGGAGACTCTGGGGGACCCTCTTCGGAGGTTCCGGAAGTAGTCCCGGCAGAGTAATCCCCTGCTTCCTAACAATCCTCCTCAGGACTAGGCAGTGGCGATCGTTCGCGGTGTGGTTATTTGTACAATTAGCGCATGTGGGCTGCTCTTCTCTACCCCGTAGGCAATTAATCGATATGTGTTCCCCAGCGCAGCGACACATTAAACGGGTCAGTGGCAATTGGCTGAAGTATGGCCATAAGCCTGGCAGCGGTGGCATTGCGCTTGGCCCACTCGTCCTTGCCAGGCTTCTATGACTACTCCTCTCATGTAGAGGAGTTCGTCGACTTAATGAAGTTGGTTTAGCCGTTCTAGGCTTAGGTGGTCCAACTGCGCATAATAGAGGCACCCAGGTCTACCTCTACGGGGAGGGATTGCTCTCACATACTTGATAGGGAATCCCCTGGCCTTGATAGCCTTTTCTATTTGGACGGTATCCGTGCCCACTGGCAGCCCCCGGATGCCCACTTTAGTGGGCTTCTCCTCCGCCGGGGTGTAGTAGTATCAGGACAGTGCTGGTTCTTTCTGGGTCATCTATATTAG